AGACTTGAATGTTCCACTGTCCGAACCAGCATTATTATATTGTGATAATCAAGCAGCATTACATATAGCAGCCAATCCAGTTTTTCATGAACGTACGAAACACATTGAAATAGATTGCCATATAGTTCGAGAAAAGTTACAAGCTGGAATCATCAAACCGTGTTATGTTTCGACCAAAATGCAATTGGCAGATGTTTTTACTAAAGCTTTGGGAAGACAGCAATTTGACTTTTTGAAGGACAAGTTGGGTGTGATCGACATACACTCTCCAACTTGAGGGGGAGTATTAAGAGGATATTTTGCCGTGATAATTAGTTAGAATATATCTCAGATATTTAGGGAGTTGTTAGTATAGATTTTATTAACCGTATATTTTATTTATTTACCAAATTTAGTTAGATATATATTTTTTCTATTTTTAGGTATTAGTTGATAGTTTGTATCCTATTTAAACGTGGTAAACCTGAATGAAGATCATACTTTCGATCCCAATTCTATTTCTATTTCTCATTCTTAACAGAACAAGATTCGATTTCAATGGGAAAAAGATTCCTCGGTCAACGAAAGACGCTGAAATCGAATCCGCCATTAATGGAACGAGGGGAAGATATAAATTGAATTCGTGACGAAAAATTGCATGCTCTGGGTCAGCCCATTGCCGTTCTTCCCCTTTTTTCGAGCATTAAAAGCCAACTCATTGATCGTTAATATTTATAAATTATAGCCATTCATTTTCGATGCCTTTTTTATTATTGTTATTATTTTGGATGAAAATGGGAATCTTTTTTATTTTCTGTTTTTTTAGTTATAATATTAAATAATTTATTTATATTTTTAATAATTTTTAAATTAGTTTTTATAATTAATAATTCTTAAAATAAAAATAATCATCAAATACCAAATAAAGTGCTTTAAAAATTATTCTATATGAGTCGATCTGATGTATGGAAGGAAGTTTTGGTTCGTACGACGGTCGGTGTTACCGACTCGGATTAAATCGAAAAATATTATCAATTTTATTATCAATTTAAAAAAATATAAGGGATTAAATAAGAAAAGTAAATAAACCTTAAACACTACAAAAAAAAAATTAATGATTAATTAATTCATAAAGTCAATAATTCAAATGTATACGACAGATTAGTCATAAATAATAAATTTGGAAATTAATTTGCGATGAAATTTGTCCTTTTTTGAAAAATAAAATATTTGAATGGTAACCGATTTTTGTCTGATTTTAATTTTAATTTTTATGTGTAATTTTTTTTTAATAATTTTAATAAAATAATTTTTTTGGGTTGAAAAAGTGTATTTATGTTTATATTATTATTCACGAAATGTGTTTAAAAATGCGAAAAGTTGTCGAGATTAAAGGGCGCGACACCATCTTGTTTGTCGGTAAGGGAGGCGAGCACCACAAGTTGACCGGCGTTTACTTCATCTCGAGGCCCAAGGCTAACCTTGTGAGTCTGGGTCAACTCAATGAGGCTGACGGCTTCATCTCCATCAAGCACATGCTACTCAAAATCTGCGATGATTGACGATGGCTCCTACGCAAATTCGGCACACGGGCAAATCGTCTTTTTAATAGTTTTTAAATTTGAACTTCGTCTTCAAAGTTTTAAAACAACATTTTGTCTTTAAAATTTAATTTAATTTATAATTTTAGATATTTTGAAATATAAGAAATAAAATAAAAGAAAAAGGTAGGGTAATAAATGATTAAACGTTAATATTAATTATATCAATTTAAACCTTTACCATATCCGATTAAATTTACACTCTCACTTTTAATTATATCAATTAAATGACTAAACATTCAAATCCATTAATCCATTGAACGAAACATTCTTTATAATGATTGAAAACCTCTGTTTAGTAAACACGTTTCAATAATAAAACTGATAAAGCCAAAACAAACAATATTGACTAACAGTAGACTGAGCGGTTACAAATATACTTATAAAAAATTATACAACTCTTAAAGTTTAGAGGTAGAAATCAATTTTCTCGGGTACGGGAACTACTTGCTATAAAAGATCTCGAACCGTACACGTGAAGAAAGAACAGATTGTCACAAGAAACAAACATTATTAATCAATAAACTTTGCTTAATCTAATTCAAACACACAAACCAAAAAACCAGTAAAACGTGTCTGTTCTTCCACCTCCTATAAAGGGGTCATAACACATCTAGTTGTCAATGTGAAACCACATATGAACGCATGCAAGTCAGCACAGATACGTACAAGGCACGAAATGAATTGAATTCTAGAGCAAGTTGTCATCAAAACAATCCCACACTTCAAAACCAGACATCTCAGACAAGCAATCTTCACAACTAGAGAGTAAATGAAGAAAAAGAATCAAAGAATATAAATATAGAAAGCGATCATATCTTCATTTCAAGCAGATCTAGGAGAGTGTTTTGGTTCAGAAGACTAACACATCATCCCTACCTATGTACCCAATCAGAGATCCAGATCAGATTCTTGTGCCAGGCTCTCTATCTGTTCAGCATGGGGCTTGAGTCCTGTGTATTGAATCTCATTTCATGTTGAGGTTGAATGTACACACTTTCAATTTCTGATGGTTGTGCATGAATGTTATTGGCATTGGGCGATGATGCTTGAACTTCGTTGCGAGACTCGGCTAACATCTGAAAGTATGCGTGAGGTCCCCAACCTGTAGATAAGGTGTAAAAGTTCGAAAACGTCAGTTCGAGAACGCTATGAATGCTCAAGAATCAGGACTACTTGCATATATGACATTTGTGTAACATTTTGGTTCTAGTGAAGTAAGTGGGCAAAGCTTAGGATCCAGCTTCAGAAGTATTGAAGTTGACATTAAAGTTCAGGTCAAGGGAAAGTCAACTACTGAATCATTAGAGCTATAATTGATTACAATAGAATGGTAAGGTCAGAGGAGCAACTTTTCATGTTCATATGGACGTGGACAGCAAATCAGAATACATCGGAAAAGTAAAACTAGCTGCAACCAATGAAAGAAAGGAAGTAGACAAATCCTGTCTTGTTTGTATGCGCACATGTATACAGATAAGTATCATTTTTAATTCATTTATCTTAACAACTATCTTAGGGAAGACTTCTTCCGGTCAACAACATAAAAATCACGGATCCATGCTTGCTTTAAGATTATGTGAGATCCCACGTCAGTTGGGGAGTAGAACAAACCATTCTTTATAAGGGTGTGAAAACCTCTACCTAGTGAACACGTTTTAAAACCTTGAGAGAGAATCCGGAAGGGAAAGCCCAAAGAGGACAGTATCTGTTAGCAGTGGGCTTGGGCTGTTACAAATGATATCAGAGACAGACACGGGACGGTGTGCCAACGAGGATACTGGACCCCGAAGGGGGTGGATTGTAAGATCTCACATTGGTTGGGGAGGAGAACAAAGAATTCTTTATAAGGGTGTGGAGACCTCCTAATGAACGCGTTTTAAAACCTTGAGGAAAGCCCAAAGAGGACAATATCTGCTAGCGGTGGGCTTGGGCTGTTACAAATGATATCAGAGAGAGACACGGGACGGTGTGCTAGCGAGGACACTGGACCCCGAAGGGGGTGGATTGTAAAATCTCACATTGGTTGGGGAGGAGAACGAAGAATTCTTTATAAGGGTGTGGAGACCTCTCCCTAATGGACGCGTTTTAAAACCTTGAAGGGAAGCCCGGAAAGGAAAGCTCAAAAAGGACAATATATGCGGTGGACTTGAACGGTTACATATTAGGACTCGGGAAAATGAAATCTGAGATGATTAATGAGGCCCAGAATCTAACCAATCAATTTTTCTATTAACAAGGTTCTAAAGTTTAAAAACAGAGAAGAAAAAAAACTACTTTTGACCAGGCCAGATGGATCTCAATGCACGGTCAAAGATTCAAAAGTAGGACTAACATGGAAGAAATGTTACAAGATTGGTTCTTGGGTAAAAGAAATAATAAATTTACCATGGACAAATCATTGCTTCATTTAACATAAAAGTAGAATGCACAACTTTCAAGGAAACGAATGATATTGTGGGCCATACCATCAATGTGATAAGGTGCTGGAAAGAATTGCAGATAACAGAAGGAAGCAATTGTCAGCCCTGCACAGAAGGTTCGGATAAGACATGAAAAGAAAAAATCATATGAAAGTAAGAGCAAATGAATAAGGTATTGGATTAACTGACCAAGAAGACCCCCGGCAAAAACGTCTTGCCAGTGATGCCAATAGTCATCAACTCGAGTAACACCAACAAGAGCTGCAACAAGCAGGGGTAGGAAGACAATACAGAGTTTTGCAATATGGCCCCTTTGGTCAAATGCTCTTATTTTCCCAGACAAATACCAAGCAAGAAATCCAAGGCCCGCAAAAGACCCTGCATATAGACAGCTTCCCTTGTTAATAAGCTTAGAAGAAGCACAAGACAGAATATAAACTGAAATGGAGAAAAAAAAAGAACAAAGGTAATACATGTCACAAATAAGCATTTGTATGCATTAACCCACAACATGAACTAATTAACTAATAACCACTGCTAAATAACCAATGCTAGCAGGAATCACGACTCTTCACAATGGTATGATATTGTCCACTTTGAGCATAAGCTCTCATGGCTTGGCTTGGGTTTCCTCAAAAGGCCTCACACCAATGGAGATGCATTCCTTGCTTATAAACCCATGATCATTCCCTAAATTAGTCAATGTGGGACTCTCTCCCAACAATCCTCAACAGTCCCCACAAAACGTGATATGACGTTAGGGTGAAAAAATCTAAGCCTTAACAGTTTTTGCTTTATTATAATTTCTTAATCTTTATCAATGGCTTAACTTCAAACCATTAAAAAAGGATACAGAGTATCAAGTCTTTGTACATTAGGATGACATCGTCAATGTGCGACTGGATTGGTAATTTAAGAAAGATAAAAAGCCTAATTTTATTCAATCATCTACCAGAGTATAGGATTTTTGACTGCTATTCAATCAATCTGTGAGTGCACATGTAATGATTACAAAATGGTAAAAATAGACAGTCACAATCAAATAACATAATTCAGAAGAACACATCTTTCTTACAGGAAGTATGCCCACTCGGGAAGCTTTTATATCCTTCTTTAATAACATTCTTATCTCCGGTGCATAAAACACCAGTTGTGATTTTATCAAATACCTGCAGATATCAAGTACTAATCTTATAATGAGTAGGAATAATAATAATATAAAGAAAAAATAGGAGCATAGGAACACGAAAGATGTTTGGATATGAACAAACATGAAAAAAAAATTGAAAAAAACAAACCCCTTTGCCATCAGGGAAACAGCGCCAGAAGAAGTCTGGACGTGGCCGACCAACAGCATCCTTAATAGCATCAGTCATTACTCCAGATATTAAAACAGCAAACAGAAGTCCTGAACAAACATGATCAATCATTAAATGTTATGCTTGGCAAGATTATCCAGAATCACAAGGATCTCCAATTATTATTAAATGAGAGAAGGAGACGAGATACCCAATATGGCATGGTGGAGATCATAGACATCCTTTCTAATGAAATAGTAGATAATAAATACAACAAAGGGCATCAATATCGCAATTATCTGTTACAGAAAAGAAAAAAAAGAAAGTCATATTGTTTATACTTTCCACAATAATGTCAGAAAAATAAACTACCGTGGAATTCACTATAAACACAAATAAATGAAAGTTTCAAACATACTGGAACTGCCCAAAGGGGAACAGTATTATCTTGTAATGGAAATTTCAGGTCTGTCATCATCTCCTGTCCAACAAAGTGATGAAATGGCTCTATAACGTTTAACACAACCTCTATCACAATAAGGAGCAAAAGGATCAACCAATCTTGAATGTGGATTCTTAATAATCGAGCTCCATGGGATCTCACAGTATGAGTACCCAATTGAATTTCTGGCATTTTGTCTGTGAACTGATAACACGAGGAGAAGAACCCGATTGGTTAAGAAAACATATTGATGTAATTTAAGCATTATCAATAAGAAAGAATCACGTGTGCAAATGACTTAGTATACATTAAATGGGTGTTTTCATGTACACACAAAGAAAATTATGAACAGAATTGAACCAAATATTCTCCTCTTTAGACTTTCCCTTTCAGGTTTCCCCTCAAGTTTTTAAAACACATCTGCTAGGGAAAGGTTTTCACACCCTTATTAAGGATGCTTCGTTCTCCTCCTCAACAGATGTAAAATCTCACAATCCACCCTCCTTCGAGGCCCAGCGTCCCCGCTGGCCACTCCCTTTGAGGTTCAACCTCCTCGCTGACACATTACTCAATGTCTGGCTCTGATACCATTTGTAACAGCCAAGCCCACCGCTAGCAGATATTGTCCTCTTTGGACTTTCCCTTTTAGGCTTCCCCTCAAGGTTTCTAAAACACATCTATTAGGGAGAAGTTTCCACACCTTTATAAAAGATGCTTCGTTCTCCTCCTCGATGTTGGATCTCAGAATAACCAAGAAATCTATCATGAATGCCACATAACACAAGGAATTTTCCAAGTAAAAATGACAAAAAAAAACTCTCCACTAGAACCCTAATAGTGACTATTCACACTAAATAGAACAAGGATAAAAAAGCACGCACTACTACCGTGAGATTACTGTGGTTGTAAAACAGGCGCTTTGTAAGAAGAAAATCGGTCAAGAAATCTTCAAATTGAAAGTCATTTAGCCACACCCACACACACACAAACACACAACAAGTTGAACGTAGATTCCAGTAACCATTCAAACTCAAAACCAAGCCTCCCTAACTCATCTCAACTCTAGATTTACTAAAACGTACCAAATCACCTGATTCGATCCAGAATAGTCCAAAACAACTTCAAATTACCGCATAAAAGTGGAAGATAAAGACAACAAAAGAAACACCCAACAATCAGCAAGGAACAAGAAACACAACACTTCATCGTGGAGCAATAAAGCAGAAAACGAGAAGAACAACTGAAAATAGTGAGTAATTCAGCAAATCAACTAGTTCGGACAGAGTTAACCGCATTTCATCTCGTTTCATCGAAGAACAAACACATTTCCAGTTCCAGCGATGGAATGAAAGAACGAACCGGCAGTGTAACAGAGAATGAAAAATGGTGGAGAAGAGAGAAAGTACCAGTGGATTCAAGCTCGAATGAAGACGAAGAACGGAGAGGGAAAGCAAAAGGCAGGGAGAGAAGACGATGAACCAAATCCCGTCTGGAATTTGAATACAAAACCGCGTCGCGCTAAAGACGGGTGGGAACTCCGACCGTGGTAAAGAGTCGCCTTTGCTGAACCCAAATCCAAAACCAACCATTTTTTTAAATTAAAATAATTAAATAATTCATTTTCTATATTTTTTTTTTTTTTTTTTTTTTTTGTTCCTAATCCTTCGTGTTTTTTTTAGGGTTTAGGGTTTAGGGTTATTCTCGACTCACTCGTTATGATTACTATACTCAAAAAGCTCGATATTGTTATATACTGTTTCTGTCTTCCATTGTCGGGATTGAACAGTTTTCTTTTTGTTACCTTATTTGAATCGAAGATCTCGGTCTGTTTTCTCAAGATTGAGTAGTTTCCTTATTTGTTGTCTGTAGTAATTCTTTATCACCCGCTACCATCATGCTAAATTTCTGTTCTAACCTTGAAAGTTGATAGGACAGTAATGGTCGATGATCGTGAATCAGCAAAATTCTCGTAAATTGTATAAATATAATGGCGTATGTTTAAATAAAATTATCGCGTGCTTTAAACTTTTTCAAAATTAGTTTTTAATGATTTAAAGGGAAAATTACTTTTCAAAAGTGCTTTATTCAAAGTCTCAAATAGTATTCCTTGCTTGGTCTTATTTTGTCTCTTTTTTTTTTTATTGCAATTATTTGCTTTATAGAAAAAGACAAGGGAATGTTTGGTTTCTTGTCTTGTGACTTTATGTTTTTTAATGTGATTTATCTAAAAAAAAAATAATTTATGTTTTCGTCCTTAAAATTTAAATATTTTTTTTCTTTTTAGTCCTCGACCCGTATATATATTTTTTATATCAAATATACCCTTTTCATTTTGAGGGTTGAAATTGATCGAGAAGAGGTTTACATGACATAATAGTTAGTGAGCTGACAAAAACGCTTAGTAAAGAAATTAAGTTATCGAACACACTAAAATAAACTATCATTCTTATTCATCATGCTAAGAAAATCACGTGTCTCTAGAACTAAACGGTTTTTTTTTTTCAATCGGGTTTTAGTTGTCTAAATATTTTCAATTCAACCCCTTATATTTTAATTTTTTTTTAACTATAGGTCCTTCTGTTATAGCGTTAAAATTGCCTTAAGATAAATTTACGTGACAATTAACGAGTTTAGAAAAATTCAGGTCATAGATTAAACCATTCAATTCCTCTTCTGGTGGTCTAGCTCCGTTTTCGAAATTTTACTGAAAAGGGTATACATGATAAATTTTGAAACTACGAGGGATTAAATTAAATGTTTTTTTTTAAAATACCCGAATGTTAGAAACTAAACCGTACGAGAAAGGGCAAAAGGCCGTAAATATACAATAAAGAACAAACAAACCTAGATCATCTAGCTCCCATTTCCATTTGGTCGTACGTTTGATTGTGCAAAGGTGTTGGAACAAAATATGTGTCGCCATTTGGTGTTGTCTGTTCTTCTTCAACAAGCACATCATCAACAATGGCTGCAGATCGAGGTGTTGCATTAGCCCTTGCATGGTGCTCTTCATGTGCTTTGAAGTATGCATATGGACCCCATCCTAAGACAAACACAATCATTTTAAGGTTAGAATATGTCTTAAAGTCTCTATGTTTCAATTTAGTCCCTGTTGTTTGAAACGTTTTAGTTTGGTCCTTTCAATTATACCCGTTATTGGTGGTGCGTGTTAAATTTGGCAAGTGACGATGGTGAACTTCATGCATACATTGTTGAAGATTGTTGGGAGATGAGTCCCACATCAGCTAATTAACGGGTTAATCATGAGTTTATAAGGAATACATCTCCGTTGGTACGGGACCTTTTGGAGAAACCAAAAGCAAAACTATAAGAGCTTATGCTCAAAGTGGACAATATCATACTATTGTAGAGGTTTGTGATTCCTAACATGGTATCAGAGACATGTCCTTAACTTAAACATGTCAATAAAATCCTCAAAATGTTGAACAAAAAAGTTGTGGGCGTCGAAGATGTACTCACAAGTGACTCAAGTGCCGAACAAATAGTGTATTTTGTTCAAGGGCTCCAGAGAAGGAGTTGAGTCTTGATTAAGGGGAAGTTGTTTGAGGGCTCCATAGGCCTCAAGGGAGGCTCTATGGTGTACTTTGTTTGAGAGAAAGAGTCAATTAAGGGGAGGCTATTCGAGGACTCCATACGCCTCAGTAGAGACTCTGTGGTGTACTTTATTTGAAGGCTCTAGAGAAGGAGTCGAGTCTCGATTAAGGGGAGGTTGTTCGAGGGCTCCACAGGCGTCAGGGGGGAGGCTCTATGGTATACTTTGTTCGAGGACTTCAGAGAAGAAGTCAAGTCTCAATTAAGGGGAAGCTGTTCGAGGGCTCCATAGGCCTCAGGGGAGTCTCTATGGTATACTTTGTTCGAGGACTCCAGAGAAGAAGTCGAGTCTCAATTAAGGGGAAGCTATTCGAGGGCTCCATAAGCCTCAGGGGAGGCTCTATGGTGTACTTTGTTCGAGACTCCAGAGAAGGAGTCGAATCTCGATTAAGGGAAGGTTGTTCGAAAGCTCCATAGGCCTCAGGGGAGGCTCTATGGTATACTTTGTTCGAGGCTCCAGAGAAGGAGTCAAGTCTCGATTAAGGGGTGGCTGTTTGAGAGCTCTATATGCCTCATGGGAGGCTCTACAGTGTACTTAGTTCAATAGGAGAATTGTTGAGAATTGTTGGGAGAGGAGTCCCACGTCGGCTAATTAAAGGTACATCTCCATTGATATGAAGCCTTTTGGAGAAACTAAAAGTAAAGCCACGAGAGCTTAAGTTCAGAGTGGACAATATCATATCATTGTGGAGAGTCGTAGTTCCTAACATACATATCGAGCTAACAATTAAAAAACCTTAGTCTCTTGAATGGCTACCGCAAGTTCACTAAATTTATACCGCGTAAGTTATTCCGAGTCAAGGGCATAATTGAAAAAAAGATGGACAATAAGGACTAAATTGAAAAATCACATACCATTGCCACTATAGGGAGGTGGGAAGAACTGAAGGTAGCAAAATCCAGAAACAACCAATCCTGTCACAAAAAAACAGAGCAAAAACAATCATTAAAACACATGAACTCATCGTTGTCAGTCTAAAATCAGCTCATTGTTTAGCAGAAACCTATAATAGCTCCAGCAAAGACATCTTGCCAATGGTGCCAATAATCATCCACTCTAGAAACTCCCACAAGTGCAGCACCAAGCAAAGGGAGAAACACCAGGCAAAGTTTTGCTACATGACCTCTCCCATCAAATGCTTGGATTTTTCCTGATATGTAAAAGGCTAGAAATCCTAAGCCCGCAAACGACCCTGCGAAAAAGAGGTCATAAACGGTTAACGGTTGTCAACCCGAGCATAGCTTAGGTCGTTAATGCATTATAACATTGATTGTGCAGCAAGAGATTTGAATCTCTACGTGCCCTTGTTGAGCTAAAAAAGAAAGAAAACGTGATTTGGTCGTTGAATATAACGGATATTAGAAGGAAGTAGATGTAAGATTTGCCTACATGAAGTATGGCCACTTGGGAAACTCTTGTGTCCTTCCCTTATTTCACTCTCTTTCCCGTGACATATCACGTTTCCTGTTCGGTCGTATGCCTGAAATGAAAAAAACGTCTTTTGTAAAAAAAGAATTATTCGAGGAGGCCACTACAATATGGTTAGCAATTTTACACTATTGGAAAAACGAGACAGATAAACTATAAAAGTAGTTTGAATCTATATCTGATTATCATTAAGAAACAAATAAACTTTCGAGTCTACCAACAGTTATTCGGGAGCTTAACTAGTCCAATAGCAGATATTGTCCCCTTTGGCCTGTTACGTATAGTCATTAGCCTCATGGTTTTAAAATGCATCTGTTAGGGAGAGGTTTCCACGCCCTTATAAGGAATGTCTCATTCCCCTCTCCAACCGATGTGGCATCTCATAATCCACCCCCTTGAGGGTCCAACGTCTTTGTTAGCATACCACCTGGTGTCTGGCTCTGATACCATTTGTAACAGTCCAAGCCTACCGCTAGTAGATATAGTCCACTTTGGCCCGTTATGTATCGTTGTCAGCCTCAGGGTTTTAAAACGCGTCTGTTAGGAAGAGGTTTCCACACCCTTATAAAGAATGCTTCATTCTCCTCTTCAATCGATGCTGGATCTCACAATCCACCCCCCTTGGAGCCCAACGTCCTCATTGGCACACAGCTCAGTGTTTACCTATGATACCATTTGTAACAATCCAAACCCACCGCTAGCAGATATTGTCCGTTTTGGCCCGTTACGTATCCTCGTCAATCTCACGGTTATAAAACACGACTGTTAGGGAGGGATTTCCACACCCTTATAAGGAATGTTTCATTCCACTCTCCAACCGATGTGGAATCTCACAAACACATTGTACAGTCAAAATAGTTGTTCAGTACCTCTATTCCATCAGGGAAGCAACGCCAAAAGAAGTTCGGTCGAGGTCGACCAACGCCATTCTTAATAGCATCAGTGATAATAGCAGTGATCAACACCGAAAACAAGAGCCCTACTCACAACAAACAAACAAACAAACACGAAACATCAATAAAACACGACTCAAATCGTAATCTTTTCCACACGAAACTCGTCTTTATAACACACAAAAGTACCTAAAACGGCATGATGCAAATCATAGACGTCTCGTCGCCGTATATAAACGATCAAGAATATCAAAATAGGCAGTATAACAGCATACAACTGACAAACAAACAAACACTGTTAAGCATTGCACTGAAGTTTGAGTAGCTCAATCATCAATTCTAATCTTTTTTGTTCAAGAACACAAAGGATTCATCAAATGCTATAACCAAATCAATATCGAAAAACTCGAAAAACCGACAAAAGGGTTGTTTCTAATGCCATAGACGAAGCAAAATCAAAGAACTTACAGGGACAGACCAGACAGGAACAGTATTATCCTTAAAAGGAAACCTAAGATCTGTCATCATGTCCTTCCCGACATAGCGATAAAACGGATGAACAGAGACCAAAATCACTTCAACCACGACAAGAATCAGCAGAATCAGCCAATCAAGCAAATGATTCTTAGCAACATT